TACGCAATAACCAATAAGAATCATCTTCAACTTCTCCCTGTCTTTACCTCCCCCATTCAGTCACTCTGAATTTAAATATTTTTCCATCGCCTCATTTCCAGTCCCACTCCACTGGACCCCACTGCCTACACCAATATGACCCTGAACAATTCATCTTTGTAGCCCTCCAATGTCTTCATCTCTAAAATGAAGATTATATTACTTACATTCCAGGGTGGCTGTAAAAATTAAATAAATTCTATAAATCACTTATATTATTGCTACAGTATAACATTCATCAACATGATAATCATAATTAATATATCAATATCTAGCATTATCCTCGATCACTGAGAATTCCTGGTTTTTATAACTGGCTTCCTCACCTAGAATCTCTCACCTCTTTAATTCTTTGCTAGTAAAGATACCTTCCAGAAGGGATCATATAAAGTTCCTCCCCTCCTCCAAAATATCCACTAGCTTTGTACTATCTACGAAATAAAGCCTAACTCCAAAGTTAGGTAACATTCAAGGTTTTTTGAAGATTGCTTTTCAAGCTGCCTTTTCCACGTTTGACTTCCCAACACTAAATGAGTTCTTTGCTTCGAACACTGTGCACTGCATGCTGCTCCCCACGCCCCTTCACAACTTTTTACCTTTATTCACACTGTTTTTATGACCTAAAACACCTACTGAATAAGCCTTTGTCTTAAATTCTCCACCTTTAAGGGTTGGTTTGAATGTCACCTTTTACTTAAAAGTCTTCCTAGGTCCTCCCATTTAGAAATAATGATTCTTCCACTTGGCTCCCACCATCTGGACCTCCATTTCTCATAGCAGTTTTTTCACTCTGCCCTGCAGTTCTTCCCATGTTTCCCCTAAGAGCAGACAAGCCCATGAGGAAAATAGTTTTCTCACAGTTTTGGGAATGAGGCTTTGCTACTAGTTATAGGTACTCAGCAGACGTTGGTTGAATTTAAAACATTAAAAAGCATGGTAAGCTTGTGGTCCTCTTAAATTTTAAACACTATTCCTTTATAATGACTTTGAAGGAAAAATGGAGAAGGCTGACCAATTAGCCTTAATCAATCAAGCTTGAGTAATTTCTCTCCATTCCTCCAGATTCTTGAACAATTTGGTAACATGAGCCAGTCAGTAAAATTACTGAGTCTCTCCCTAAAAATTTCCACCCCGGGTGATGAACTATGATTTCCTTCCATTTTTGTATCATTTCCTCTTGAGCTCTGATTTTTAGTCTAACAGATGACTTCTTTGTAGGTCATAACCTTAAATGCTTGTTCAGACCAAAGACACCATAAGATAAAGCAAGAGAATGACTATAATTTTAAAAGTATTATGTACAACAGGAAACTAATTATTGTAATTAGTGTGTGGAGAGGTCCATTTATAATCCTCTTCTTTAAATACCTGATGCTTTGATAGAAATAACAACAATAATGACTATTAGCACTTAATCCTATCCATCTTTAAAGAAATAGGCAAACATCCTTTATCGTTCAGATAATTATTTTAAAATACATAGATCTCTTATGAGGAAGGCATCATATTTCCATTTCAAAGATGGAGACACAGTGGCACATAGAAGTTAATATTTTCAAGTTCAAGAACATAGTGCTAATACTAGAGATTAAAGTTTGTAACTATCTGAAGATCTGTCTTATATAGTAAAACCAGCAAAGGATGGTAATGATGACTAGCATTAGTTAAAAATCTGCTGTGTGCCAGAATCTGTGTAATGTACCTTCCATTCATTCTCTCACTTAATCCACATAATAATTCTTAAGAGTGACTCCCTTTTGTTAACTCAATTTTATAGACAGGAAAGTGGAGATTCAGTGACTTGCCCAAGATTACATAGGCATGTAGTGGCCAGACAGGACTTAGGAGTCACAACCACTTAATAATTAAGGTATGAAATGAAAATCCTCAGATACTAAAACCCATTTCTTAAATCCATCAGCTATGAGAAACATAATACTGTCAGTTAAAAAACTATAAAGTAAATATTCTATGAATATTAATTAAAGCTTAAACTACCACAGTTTATGAATAGAAAAATTCTTTATGACACATGACTTAGCATATCAGATAAGCTAAAAATTTAAATCTATGTTTTCAGGTATTGTCACTAAAGTTTCTTCACATAAATAGAATAGTGCCAGAAACTGGGCATATTTGGTTACCAGAATCACACAGCATTCTTTTATATATAACTGTTTCAGATTACTTCAGGATGTAGCCAAATACTTAAAACATCTAAATATAGATAAAAATTATAAATACAATCAGATTATTAAATCACATGTCAAGCATTAAAGTTTTTAAAAAGTTAGACTTTTGAAGGCATTACTTCAAAAACAAGCAGAAATGCTGCTTCCTCTCCCTGAAAACAAAAGGAAAAAAAAAGGCCAGTTTGTATGAAGGTATAACAAGCGAGTATGTCCTGAATACTAGAACACTGTGCATATTAAGCAAAGAGCGGTGCAAAGAGAACCACCCTGAGCAGAGGTGGAAACCAGCTCTTCCCTCTACATTTGCCCCTTATATCACATACCAACAGATTCACATATTATATATAGCAAATTCTACTTCAGCATTTACTTACAGAATTTTACCTTTAAAGAAATATTTTTGTTTGAATTACAGTTGACTTACAATACTATATTAGTTTCAGGTATACCACATAGCAATTAGATATTTATATAACTTACAAAGTACAGTGGTCATCCCAACAAGTCTAATAGCCCATCTGAAACCATACATACTTATTACAATATTACTGATTGCATTCCCTATGTTGTACTTTACATCCCCATGACTGTTCTTTTTTTAAATTTTATTTATTTATTTGAGAGAGGGTAAGGGAGGGAGAAAGAGAGAAAGATCGATGTGTGAAAGATTGCATTGACTGGCTGCCTCTCGCACCTCCACCTGGGGACCTGGCCCAAAACCCAGGCATGTGCCCTGACTAGGAATTGAACAGGCGACCCTTAGGATCGCAGACCAGCACTCAATCCAGTGAGGCACACCAGCCAGGGCCCCGTTACTATTCTTATAACTGGCAATTTGTACATCTTAACCCCTTCCTTTTTAAATTCATCTCTTCAACTATCTCCTATCTGGAAACCATCAAAATGTTCTCTGTATTGATGAGTCTTTCTGTCTTGTTTAATTTGTATTTTAGATTCCACATATAAGTAAAATGATGGGGTATTTGTCTACCTCTGTCTGAGTTATTTCACTTAGCATGATACCCTCTAGGTCCACCCACGTCTCAAATGGCAAGATTTCACTCTTTTTATGATCAAGTAATAATCCATTGTATGTATGTACCATATCTTCTTTATCCATTCATCTATTGGTGGATACTTAAGTTGCTCCATATCTTGACATTTTAAATATTGTTGTGTTAAAGACAGGAGTGCATTGTCTTTTTTAATTAGTGTTTTGGTTTTCTTTGTATAAATACTTAGAATTGCTGGGTCTTTCTTCATCTCCTATTATAGCCTTTGTGTTGTCTATTTTTCTGATGTATGTATTGCTACCCCAGCTTTTGTCTTATTTTCATTTGCCTGAAATATCTTTTTCGATCCCCTTACTTTCATTCTGTGTGTGTCTTTTGATCTGAAGTGGGTCTCTTATAGACAGCATATACATAGGTCTTGTTTTCTTATCTATCTAGTCACTTTGTGTTTTTAATTGGAGCATTTAATCCATTTATATTTAAAGCAATTATTGATAGGTAGGTAGTTATTGCCATTTCATTGTTAGTATTTTCTTCTCCTCCTTCTCTTTCTTCTTCTAAAAGACACATTAACAATTATTCTAATACTGGTTTGGTGATGATAAACCCCTTTAGCTTTTTCTTGTCTGCCAAGCACTTTATCTGTCCTTTGATTCTAAATGATAGTTTTGCTGGGTAGAGTTGTAGGTCCTTGATTGTCAATCCTTTATAATCTGCAAAGTTTCTGTTGAGAAATCAGCTGACAGTCTTATGGGAGCTCCCTTGTAGGTAACTAACTGCTTTTCTCTTACTGTTTTTAAGGTTCTTTGTCTTTAACCATTGCCAATTTAATTATGTTGTATCTTGGGGTGGACCTCTTCAGTTTATCCTGCTTGGACTCTCAGTGCTTCCTGGACTTCTGTGTCTATTTCCTTCACCAAATTTGGGAAGTCTTCCATCATTACTTCTTCAAAGAGGTTTTCAATTCCTTGCCATTTGTGATACCATGGATGGACCATGAGAGCATTATGGTAAGTGAAATAAGTCAGACAGAAAAAGACAAACAGCATGTGAACTCATTTATATGTGGAATCTTTTAAAAAAGCTCATAGATACAGAGAACAGATTGGTGGTTGCCAGAAGTGAAGGGTATAGGAGTGAGTGAAATGGGTGAAAGGAATTTTTAAAAAAAGTAAAAAGAGTCTCTAGTGCTCTCTTATGAAAATAAGGAAAGGGAAAAGGAGAAGAGGAGGAGGAAGAAGAAAAGGTAAAAGAGGAAAAGGAAGAAGAAGAAGAAAAGATATACCTATAATATCTGTAGCAAAGTTAAGTCAGCTCTGTCCATTACTTTCTCCGCCTATGGAAATCTTCTGGCTGGGGTATTTGCTTCCAGTGGTAACTGACGGCATACACAATAGACACACACACACACACACACACACACACAAAGTACATACAAACACATGCACAGGAAAAGGAGTGACTTCCACACCCAAACATTCCTTTCATCAACAATTCTATGGTCTCAGTCTACACAGCTGATCCCAGCTAACATACTATAAATGACAGCATATCTTCTTACACAGGAACTTTTAACTTCTGGGAGAAATGCTATATTCCTAGAAAGCACAAACATCCATAGTTCCAGATGTTGTAAACCCAAATTGGATAATAACCACAAAAGAAATTAAATATATGGGGAAGGAATGTATGCCCCCCCCAAAAGATATTGGGCCCTATTTTATGGGTCCACTGTCTCAATAAAACTGATCATCTTTATTTTAATTAAATTGTCCCTGTGCACTTATTTTTGGACACATAAGAATTGGAGGTAAAGAAAAGCGGACTTTGAGAAGTCTGGGGCCAGCTTGCTCCCTGCGGGCTCAAGATCAACCATTCCACATGGAGAAATTTTTTTAAATTATAAATAAATAAATAAATAAGTTGTCCCTACACATTAAAAAAGCCTCCTAATTCATTCTGTGAGGTGAGTACAAACACATACACACATAAAAAATGCTACAAGCTGAGTTCTATGGGCAAAGTCTGCCTTGCCAATGATTATGTATAGGTAACATTTTAAATATGGAGTGAGACCCAACATCCAATTCTTCTATTACCACAGCCCCCTCTTCTTTCTTTGTGAGCATCACCTACTCTACTTTACTCAATTTAGAAAGAAAAATTGGTTCCTTTAGGCATTTGAGTTTACAGTGCTTACAAGAGACCAATTTCACTTGTGAATATGAATTTTTAATTCTAATTAAAATATGAGCAAATCAAGACTGGCATAAAGTAACAGAAAAAGGCATATTAACTATATAAAGCTTTTACTAGGAGCAGATTATCACTAGAGAATTAATTCACAGAATTCACTATCTTAAGTATACTTCTAAAATTTGATGGAAATGTACAGAAAAATGAAGCTAGACCACCTTCTTACACTACACACAAGAATACTCAAAATGGATTAAAGATTTAATATTAGACCCAAAACCACAAAAATCCCAGAAGAAAACACAGGCAGTAAAATTTCGGATACTGGTCATGGCAATATGCTATATGCTATATCTCCCTAGGCAAGAGAAACAAAAGAAAAAATAAACAAATGAGATTACATCAAACTTAAAAGTTTTTTGCACAGCAAAGGAAAACATCAACAAAATAAAAAGACAATCCTTAGAATGAGAGAACGTATTCTCCAATACATCCGATTAAGGGTTAATATCCAAAAATTATAAAGAACTTACAAAACTCAACACCAAAACAATAAACAATCCAATTAAAAAGTGGACAAAGGACCTGAATAAACACTGCTCCAAAAAGGACATAGAGACGGCCAATAGATATTTGAAAAGATGTTCAACATCACTAATCACCAGAGAAATACAAATTAAAACATGAGATATCATCTCACACCTCTCAGAGTGGCTGTCATTAATAAATCGAGAAACAATATGTGCTGGCAAAGATGTGGAGAAAGGGGAACCCTAGTGCACTGTTGACGGGAATGCAGACTGGTGCAGCCACTGTGGAAAGCAGTATGACAATACCTCAAAAAGTTAAAAATGGGTCTGCCTTTCAACCCACCAATCCCATTTCTGGGAATATATCTGAAGGGACCCAAAACACTAATCTGAAAGAACATAAGCACCCCTCTGTTCATAGCACCATTATTTATAATAACCAAGATATGGAAGCAGCCCAAGTATCCATTAGTAGATGAGTGGATAAAACAACTATGGGACATGTACACAGTGGAATAATACTTGGCCACAAAAAAGAAGAAAATGTTACCCTTTGCAACAACATGGATGGACCTGGAGAACATTATGTTACATGAAATAAGCCAGTCAGAGAAAGACAAGTACATGATTTCACTCATGTGTAGAATCTAATGAACAAACTGAACTAACAAGAAAAACAGAGGCAGGCTCCTAGACAAAGAGCAGGCTGACAGCTACGGTGTGTGGGGTGAAGTGGCAGGTAGAGGATGGAGGGATTGAGCAGAAAGGAAAAAGGACTCATGGACATGGACAACAGTGTGGTGATTGTGGTGGGGAGGGAGGTGTAAGGGGGCTAAATGGTAATGGAAAAAAATGCAATAAAAATTTTTAAAAAGAAAAGAAGTGACACATCAATATATCATATAATACAGAATTGCAACCTTTGGGAACCCACAGATGAGCTCCGAAGTGTCTGTGAGAAGCTGCAACTGTAAGCACAATATTGGTGCACGTGTGGTGAGTTCCACAGATACATTAATTCGTAAAGAAGTCCAAACCCACGAATCCTCTCACAGGCTGCAGCACGACAATGGATTACTCTGCATTACAACGATATTGTTGAAGGTTGCTCTAAAATAAAGGGCATAAAAATATACTACACCAATGCTCAAACTGATCCATTTTTAAAACAGGTTCTGAAATTCTACTGCATCAGAAACCATTACTCACTGCCAAGACGACCTGCCGAATGTTTTTCACATACAGGTCCACGTAGTCTTTGATATAGGTGTGCAGGTGTTGGAAGTCTATGCTGTACCAGTTCATCATCAGTGCTGCTTCGTTTTCATTATTCCCACTCCAAACGATGATGGAGGGGTGAGATTTCAGTCTCCTGACCTAAAATATAAGAAAACATAAAATAACTTTCAAATGCTCAACATTAAAAAATTGAGAATTATAATATTCATAAAAGTATAACCATTGAATTTCTGCACATAAGTTTTTATGTGCCAGAAAGCCCATTAGAAAATGGCTAGTAACTTTACCTGTGGAAATATATTTTAAGAAATCTCTGAGATTCCTTTTATCTAGATTTTATAAATACCAGTGTGATAGGGCTTCTCTTCCCTGCTGTATAAAAACTGAAAAAAATATGATCCCTTTTATTAAACAAGAAAAAGAAATCAACCTCATCTTTATCTGACTCACACCAAGGTTCTAAAAAATACAGAATGCAGGAGATATCATGTTACGTTACAGGGGTTAGTTGTCTCGAGAGCAAGCTGGAGCTTGTGTGAAGGAACAAATGCGGCAGAACAAGTACTTCTGCTGAAAGATGTATTGGGATCCCCACAGTCTTCACCATGTCAAAAAACCGTAAGGACTAGAGAGGGTTTTACAAAGCAATTAAGTACCAGAGATGCTCTGGAAGTTAAACACAAATGTATGGAATAGTCTAAAGAAGAAAACAATTAGGGCATCAAGAAGGTATTACCTGAAATAAGTATCAATGTCAAGTAAGAAGAAATCAACTAAGACTAAATAATTGAATGCATCTAAAACCCTGCCAGTCTTAAGAACAGAAGTCGGCATGACCCAGGCTCACTGTGGGCCGGCCCTACATAAATGTGAAAGGACCCAGTTCTTCTGACACATTGGGGGATGTACCAAATACAAGAGGGCAATGAACAACAGAGTGAATCAATGGTCTAGAAAAATTCTTTTGGAACTTGTCTTAGCAATACAACCTCATTGGTATTTACAGCTTCTCTTTCTCTGTACTGGATGATTACAGTGATGGGTCCCAGCTGATGTTTCTACTGTGGTCTCCATTCAAGATACTAGGCAATATATCCATGATATAGAAATGCATTAAGGATTAAAGAGATACCCTTCACTTTAAAAAGGTGAATATTTGTGTTTTTCCAAAGCAGACTCTTACACAGTATCTCCTTTATTTGCCTCTATATATACCCAGGTAAGAGAGGGCTGCTACCAGTGGTGACTGGTGTGTTTGTGGTTCTGATGAAAATACAAACACAAATCCCGAAGAGGCAAAACCTTCAGTGACTCTGCAACATCCTTCACTGACCTAGAATTTTATGGTAAGCTTTATTTTAAAATGTTAACAAAGTCTACATAAAAAGCTCTCCTCTTTGATTATAAATAAAAGAACTGAAAGCTCAGAGATATCACATTTTAATTATTTGCATGAAAGAAAATTAAAGATAAAACTGAAATGTCTGCAACCTACTAACTATGATTAACACTTTAAAAGTTATTCATCCGTCCATATACCCACCTGAAGAATAGTCCAGTCAGGGAGTGGGGACACAGGGGGGACAAGGCCTGAGCTCAGGGAGATTACAACCTTGCAGGGGTGACAAAACCCGAACAAGCAATTCAAAGTGGGATGTGTGTCACAAAAAGCAAATGACCTGATTTAGATTTGCAGATTTAGAAGGGTTTTTCCCAGAGAAAGCCATTCTCAAGGAAAGAGGGGCAAAAGAGAATGAGTGAGGTGGTCCCCAAGGGAATGTGATGGGGACGGTGTTCTGGGGCAGACGGCATGGGGAGATGGGGCTTGATGTGGTGGAGGGGCAGGCAGGGACAGGAGGGGGCCTGCTGGGGGTCTTTAACTTTATCTGGAGGACTCCGAGCAAGGAATGATTCCATTTGTACCTTTTAAACCTTTTTTAAAAAAATAAAATGCAGATAAAGAAAATAAATTATTGCATAGTAAATTATTAAAGGCAATCAGTCTGTAACCAACACCGAGAACAAGAAAGAAAACTTGACCAACCAGCCTAGAAGCCCTCACAGGCCCCACTTCCCAATCAGGCCACTCCTCCTTTTGAAGTAACCACTGTCTTGAGTGTTAGAGTAATCCTTGCATTTCTTTTGGTTTTTCAGGCAACTACACCTCCACTGTAATTAAAAACTCACGTATTTCAACACACTTGATGAATTTCAATCCACTGACATTCTTATCTTTACTGAACCTCAGATTGTCCCACTTTGGGGTGGTCAGAGTCTCATCAAAGTTCTTTTGGCATATTTATTATGGCCTCCTTGCTATCTGTGTGTCAAAATATTCCAGGACAATCTATCAGTATATTTCCTGTGCCAGACCTGAAATCAGCTCGTTCTTTGAGAAGCCCTTCTCTTAATTGGAAATACTATTTCATATAAGGATGCTCAATATAACTAGTTGTTCATTGTTTCTAGGCCTTTTCAGTGGATGGAGCTAGGATATAGTCACTTCCTTGCATTTGCAGATCTGTAAACATAAATATAAGTGTGTATATGTGGAATGCAAAAGAAATCAAGAGTGAAAAATCACTTTAAATTTTTTGGCCTGGGAAATTCAGATTGGCATTACCAATCATTAAAAACCAGGGAAATCGAGTTCGGAGAAGGTAATATAAGTTTGTTTTGGCCATGTTACATCTGGGATGACTATAAAACCTCCAAGTGGAGGTGCTGGTTGGCAGCAGGATATATGCATCAGGAATTCAGCAGAGACGTCAGGACAGCTGATAAATCTGAGAGTCGTAAGGTAATAAAGCCGTGAGACTGAATGGCATCACCTAGAAAGTCGATTACCTGACTGTGCTTTTTCACGGGATTTAGTAAAGAGAACAACAAAAAGAACTGTGGAGAGGTTTAACAAAAAGCA